TTCCGCCTTCCTATTCAGCACTGCTCCAAACAGTTAGAAGATCTAATCTAATCTGCGCCTCTTACGTATAAATTTTAAATCGAGGCTTACAAAAAGCCAAAAGTAAGGCGTACCAAAACTCCTTCTTCATGTAATACTCACATTCAAACAGATATGTTGTCTAATTGGGCATACTGCATCGGATGCAAGCATACCTAGTTCAAGCATACATCACAATTCCTCCGAAGAAGCGAGCAAGGCTCGCCTACCTCTCAACTCCCCTTCTCTCCACTCAGTACCAATCACAACTTCAAAAATTCACCACGAAATAACGACTCATTATCTTACCACCATTCAAAGACCAAATCGATTACGAGCAAAGCGATTACGAGCAAAACGAAAAAACAAAATGCGTTCGCCGGGAATCGAACCCGGGGCCCATCGAGGTTGTTTCAACCCTAGTCCTCGGGTGAGAAGAAGGACATTGATGGCAACGATGGATTTTACCACTAAACCACAAACGCTTTGGATGATTAGTTATCGATGTATGTGAGTCAGAGTTTTAGATATATATCTAGATTTAGATCTGGGATTGAGGAAAGAGGGTCTTAGGAAAGAAGAAATTTTCCAGAAAGTGGGGCGGGGAGAGGGACCTCCTCATATCATATCCATAATTTTATCGAGCTTGCATATACCAGTGCAATTTACAGCATGGGAAAAGCCAGTGTTACCATCTGCCTAGATTCAAATATGCATACAATGTTTTTGCATCCTTTATAGCAATTGTTGAATCTAAACTCGGAAGGGAGTAAGTGATCAAGTGATTTCTCGAGGCCGAAAAGAGCAGCAGAAATCAAGAGATCGACGGCGTTAGTGAAGTACATTCAATGCCGTCAAGGTTCGCTATTGAGAAACTATCCATAAGCTACATAAGTTCGGCGATCATTCAGTATTGAGACCAAATGCGGTTCTGTTGTTTGTGACTATCTACACTCTCAGCAGTGCCACAATGTTCGCAACCTTGCACTATCTACTTAGCTACTTACACTCTGTTCAATATACAAATCAATAGTCTACGCGTACTCTGCTACAAGTCAACGCCTCTATGAATGTTGACGTGGCGGGAGCCAAAACTCTTTTAGATGCTAATGTCTCGCTCCCTCAATCAAAATTTGACCTAATGACCTTTTTGCTTGGTGTTCCAAAGTCGTGGATTCGATCTCTCCACTAACAGTTCCAACATTGAAAGGTATGGCTCTTAGATAATCGAGGGAAAGAGAGCTTGTTAGTTCAAGTGAATCAAATTAAGGTCATTCTTGCAGTTTTGTTGGTAGACGACTAGTATTGACTTGATTGAGCAGGCTATGAGCAATTAGCGAATAGATTCACTTGAAAAGGGTACGAGGAAATGACCTTGGTGACCTCTATGGTGTGATCTCGTTGGCATAACCTATCAGGGTTTGTATGTGAATGGATCTGTTCTGACATGCGTTGAGTGGTTGACTAGGGTTCTCCCCCACAAGTATCATTGTCAAGTAGAAAAGTATTAAATGTGCAAGCGTGGAGTATTCTTGTGGATCTTCTAATTAATGTTTGTCTCAAACAGTAGCCCTTCAATGCTTCATGTTTCTGCAGACTTTGCAAGTTCAGTAGTCTGGTACTATATATACAGACTCGTCTAAAATCTGCACTTCAGGCATACATTCTGGGGAAAGAAGCGTTGAGACATTCGGTGGAATACATCAAAGAAGATCAACTCCAGCCTCTCATGAATGAAGTCCATATTTGTCTAATAAAGCTCCAAGTAAAGTAAAATATTCAACAGAGAAACTCGAAATATTCAGCAGCGCTTCGTTGTTTCATTGCACCACATTGCCTCGAACAAGAACACCTCAAATTCCTGATCTATTGGTTCTAAAACGGTAGGGGTCCCGAGATGTGATCACAGAATGAAGTGAAGATTTTAGAGCCTTGGACGGCACTCGGCCAACTCCTTGGAATCTTAATATTCACATCTACATTTGTTTATACCTATATCTGAACGCTAGTAGCTAGATGTTACCGTCTGACGTCTTAGAATGAATTCACATTTCGAACATCCATTTGAGAACTCATCTGCCATCAATCACTTTATGCGAGTTTCAAGTGGGAGCGCAGAACCAATTAAGTATCCAATATCTACTTACCTGGGTCAAAATTTTCTAATATTTACCCACACTAATCAGAGAAGCGCAGCGAGCAACAATCATTATTCAATCCCGATGCTCGACTATTAATCGAGTATCCTTCAAGCCCAATTGATAACACAATATAGACCATTACTCACAATATCAAACTCGCCCCTTAAATCCGACTGACGTGCTCTAGACCGCCGAGGTATTGATACTCCGCCCTCAATATGCAGATACACCGGAGCGGCAGCAAGACATCGATTCATCAATCTAATTCAACCGTCCACGTAGATGCTCAAATGTACTTTCACTCCTCACGATATTGGAAGTTCAGAGTGATGCGAGGAATATACTTATTTAATCCTCCTCTTCCGGACATGGTATGTTGAATACTATACCTGGCGTTTAAGCCCAGGGGCCAGTGTATATAAGATAGAAATGAATAGTAGGTCGACATGGTGGAGCCTAATGAAGACCTCACAAAATACACGCGACACAATGCAAAAATACAAGCAGAATGGGCATGTAAAGCAAGAATGGTTATTCAGCAATCATGAAGCTCACGAAGTATATGAAGGGTTGCTTACATGTCTATTTAGTACTAGAGGCTACTACCGCTGTCTGCGCAATCTTGAGTACGAGGCCGAGGCTCAATAGCAGATGTAACCTATTATTCAAACGCAGCCCATGGCTCGTTACAGATGATGTTCGTTTATCAGCGAGATGGCTCGCTACATACTCTGTTTGGAGTAATTATCTGACGTGTGTTATCCAACAAGTCGTTCTACACCAACACCAGCAAACGAGACTCCATGTTCGGCGAGTGTTTCCAATTTCAGAATGAAGCTAATCATGATCACCAGTTCACCAGTAGCATAATATCAAAACACATAAACTTGATTAAGATCCGCCTCCAAAAGCTGTCCCCCTACATCAAAGACACAAACCCCCCTCCCCCCCCCCCCCCCCTTCGGAACTCACAATCATTCATCTCAGATCTATATCCATCATTCTGGATGATTTAGCATACATAACCATATAAATCTTCACCCCCATTTAGCACAATCCATCTAGTTCGAAAATTGAAATCCTCAAGCTATATCTACTCCAAGAAATACAACCTCACTTCTGTACTCCCCCAAAACCCAACAAGTAATAATTACGAGCGTGTAAATCTAACTGCTCAGCTTATATCAACATGATATTGTAATAGATACTACCAATTACATCCTAACAAACCTCATCATTACAAATTACAATTCGTTTCGAGGTTGTACGTAAAATATAAGAACTCAACACATCCTTCAAGAAACCAGTAGCAATCTCGTATGCACAAGCACGAAAGAAACATGACCACGTTTTGAGCAACCCCCCTGAAGCTCAAGTAAACTCCACACAGCCAAATCTTTGGCGTCCCGCAAAAATGAGTTCGAAAACCTCGTGCGTAAGTTCATGGAAATATTTCTCTCCTAAATTCTCCATAATGAAAAGCACAACCAACCCACTCCATCTACCATCTACCATCTACCATTCCCGCCAAACCCCAAACCCCAAACCCAAACCAACCGCCGAACCGCATACCCACCACTAACCCCCAGCGACATCAATCAAGATCCAAACAGTCAACACCACAAAAAGAATCAAGAGACAAGACACCCATCAACCCAGACACTCCGCCCAATCTACACCACACCCCGGAATTCATAACCAAGAACCCAGAAAGCACCACCCCCTATCCATCCATTCCATCCATTCCATCCTATTCATTTCATTTCATCCGTCCATTCTATTCATTTCATTCATATCTCTATTCCAACCACAACCACGCAAACTAAAACTAATATAACACAAGATATCTCTCTAGTGACTGACCGACTGAATGACCGACTGAATGACTGACTGACTAACTAACTGACTAACTAACTGACTAACTAACTGACTAACTACTACTAACTGACTAACTAACTGACTAACTAACTGACTAACTAACTGAATGATTAGAGCAAGTAAATAATTAAAGTAAGTAAATAACCATCTTTGAATATACAATATCTATTCATGATTCTCGGATATGGGAGATTGTGAAAGTGCTGGGTGAATTTACATATTTGATTAGATATTGATTTAATCAAGAAAGAGGGAGAGGCAGAGAGAGAGAGAGGGAGAGAGGGAGAGGGAGAGAGAGAGAGAGAGAGAGAGAGAGGGAGAGAGAGAGAGGGAGGGAGAGAGGGAGAGAGGGAGAGAGGGAGGGAGAGAGAGAGAGGGAGAGAGGGAGAGGGAGAGAGAGAGAGAGAGAGAGAGAGAGGGAGAGAAAGAGAGAAACCAAGAAAGAAAACAACACTCTCCTCTCTCCCATTTCGTTTTGATAGATGATTGGGTGAGTTGCTTGATATCTATCTACCTAAGTAGGTAGGTAGGTAGGTAGGTAGGTAGACAGGAAATGAACCGAAGAACACTAATTCCATACTTCCTCACTAGATCCAGACCCATCATCTGATATCATCAAAACTCATGCATAAAAAGATGCTCTTTCTACTAAGATATTGTGATGAATCTTATATTTTATTATTTACTATTAGACTATACGTTCCCTCCGCAACAAGGTATTACTATTGGTATTGATTCAAATCGCAAACCATTCCACTCTATGCCACCCAATCCAGCCCCAAGCATCCCCAATCAACCAGGTACAGATCCTCCATAAATGAATCCCAAAACGCACAACATATCCGCCCATTCAGCCACTACAAGAGATGCACAATAACTTGATCTCCACCCGCGCTCAAGAATCCCAAAATTCGGATTCTACACCCCTATTTGATAAGTAAAGATGCATCTCACATCTCGTATCTATTGCCCTCCATGTAGTGGTGGTTTCGGCCCCACAATTTGTCGTCTACCAGCTCCAATACCTTGAGCTCCCCTGTTCTGCCCATCGCCACCGGTATACCCCGTCCATTGATTAACATCCCACTTCCCTCCAATACCTCCTCCAATACCATCAACTCCCTCGCCGCCTGGGACTTTATTCTTGAGTTCTTTCTGACTCTCTTCCCATTCCTGTTGTCGTTGTCTTTCCATCTCCATTTCCTTTTCCAAAAGAGATTTAGAAGCCCATCCACCAGCTTTGGTTTTAGTTTGTGATTCGACACGGCGACGATCTTCTGCATCGCGTTCGGCATTGCTGGAAAATGTTCCTATTTCATTCGAATAAGTTGTGGTTGGTCTTGGTGGGGTTGGTGGAGGGTTTGAGGAAAGAAAACGGTCGGTGCGGTTTGGAGCTTTAGAGGTTGGAGATGTGTAATTTACTGGATCAGGTAAAGGTCTTGCTTCACCGGTCCGTTGAGGTTTGATGGGATTTGCCGTTGGTTCAGGCAATGGACGAGGAGGTTTGACTGGCGGCGCTACATCTTCACTTGTATTATGCGAGCTCCATTGTTTGCGAAGGTAGTCTCGTTCATCTTGACTCCATGTTTCATCAGTACCCTTTCGTGATGGCAAGCGAGGGCGACTACGAGATCTCGGACGAGCTTTTGATGACTCCTCCTTTAGTCGTAATGTTAAATCATGATCTTGGATGGCGTCTCGATCGCCAGTCTTATGTTTCGAAACCCTTTCTGCTTGATATCGACGCTCTCGGTCCCGAGCTTCCGCTAGTTCGTGTTCCAATTGTCTAATCCTGTCGGCCTCGCTAGAATCACTTCTCTGGCCCTTCTTGCTCAAACCATTCTCAGCTTGATATTGACTGAGGAATTGTCCCTGTAATCGAGTGTCGCTAGTACCCCTTAATCTCTTTCGCTCATCCGCGGCTCTACTCTCTGCCTCAGACTCATCCTGCTTTCTGCGATCTTCCTCTGCTTTCCATCTGCGCTCTTGTTCCTCCCATTCTCGTTTCTCGTTCAATGTTTTTTGTCGCAACTTTTCGGTTTCTTCGGCAAATCTTCTTTCCTCTTCCACACGAGCCCTTTCCTCCTCGGCCACAACTCTTCGCCGTTCCTCTTCTTCGGCTTCAAGTTTCAATCGTTTATCTTCTGCCTCTTTTTCCTTTCGCTTCTTCTCTTTTTCGGCGAGACTTGGAACGGTCGGACCAGCGTTTGTGATTTGTCTCCTGCCACCAAATGATACCCCCATATTACCTTGACTCGCACCTCCCATGTATCCATATTGCGCAATATTCCAGGCTGGAGATGTAGCACTCTCGTCGGATTTCTTACTCCAACTACTGACAGAATTAGGTGATGTAGGCGCACCAAATCTGCTAGGACTTCTCCTACCACTATCCGAACCACCAGTTCTTGAAGCTGTCAAAGTTGCAGGCTTGTGACTTGATGATGCAGTGCTAGCGGTTGAAGCTTCCCTTCCTCTGTTATTGAATCCAGTTCCAAGATATTGTCCAGTAACCTGCGGGCTCACAACACCGCCGCGAGATTTGGCGCCGATAGGATTAGGAAATTTAGAAGGATCAACTCGATTTGCCGCTCTGCTAAATGCAGCGATACCTTGAAGTACTTGCGCGGGGTCCTTACCATCGTAGAGATCGACTGTAAGAAACCTATCGTGCGCAGGTAGACTTAGCGGTGGCTTTTCGCATGCGCCGAGAAACAAAGCGATATTCTCTCGTTGTATGAAAGGCATCGTTGCTTTAGGTTTAAATCCACGGACTTTCATAGGATCAATCATCGCTGCAAGTCTGTAGGGAGTCAGTACACTTTGGATCGGTACGTGATAAGGAGAGAAGCTTACTTGCAAAGTGCTACACCATCTTTCAGTGCAGCCAATATATTATATGTGCCAAATCGTGCATCATCTCCAACATCAGGCAAACTCTCCCCCAGAGATTCTTCGATGAAATTCCTTACTTCGTTCACAGCAGCTGGTGTAACTCGATCACCCCGCTTGCTATTAACATCGTTGTCGAGATTTGTTACAGAAGCCATGATCATCGTTGTATGTGTAGTGTAATCTGTAGTTGGATTCTGTTTTGTTATTAGGATGCGACTCCTTTTTGTTATGAAATCAAATCGCAATCTCAAATCTACAAGCACAATCCAAATTCATAAGGCGTATTTGCATGACGGTAAATCATAAAAGGTGGCCGGCGCTAAGGATGGGGCAAGGCTGATCCTGGAATGTGGTAGAAGGAAATCAATCACATAAAAATAATGTTGGATAGGTAAGCAGGCAAGATTGGAACTTTGAGAGGATATAAAATTGTTATGGTTTTTACCTACGTACGGATGGTATCAGCGATGATATCGATATTGATATTGAGTTTCTTGGAGAGAATGATGCTATATGAATCAATGCAATGTATCGTACAGTACAATGTATGATGTATGATGTGCCTACTAGGCCGGTAGGTGCATATTGAAAGTGGGTTTTCACAGGATATCACATGTTTCTCATGTATGCACGTGATTTTTCATCACACAAGGCTCGATCGGACGGTATTATGACATAAAGACTCCATTCCGAGTGTCAAAGTCACCTATGTTCATGTAATGATCAACATCCCAAAAGACTCTTGGATTCCCCGATCCACATGAAAAATCTCATTTTGGATATTGGGAAAGTGATCCAAAGCTAAAAAAAGATCATATGATTCATAAGGTTAGAATCTTGGAAGGCGAGGAAGGGTTATTTTCTATGGACACCTGCAGCAGAGTGAATACGGCAGAGCAGAGCGTACGGAGGTTGGATGAGTAAGTAATGTAAAACCCACCAAAAACTGATCATGCTTTTCTCCATATTTAGGGGCTTTAGCCAATTATATCGTCATATTAATTGAAAATTTATATAATGAACTCTAGATAATAGAAGTATTATAAAAGTTATATTTTATTTACAATTTATTTAAAATCATTAATTTCTTATTGAATTTTGATTCGAAATTCTATCTAGAATCTATTTAGAATTTATCAGAAGCTTTAAATACTTCGAATACTGAAAAACTATTAAAATTGATAAAAAGCAAGTAAAAGCTTTAAAGATTGAATTTTGGAGGGGAATAGTTCAATATCTATTCAAATTGCTTAAAGCAGTAATAGAATCTATAAAAACAGTAAGATTTTAGTAAAAGTGGGGTTTACATTAATTACCCTTCCAACCTCCGTACGACGTGCATAGCGGATTAATAAGCCAACCTTGGAAGTTACCTCCGTAGTATATAATATCACCTGCAATCAAAGCACAACCCGGAGTTGGAATAAAGATCCGAGGTTCAAGCGTTTTGACGGGATTTTGGAGCAAGTTGTGAACCTAATTTATGAGGCCTCATTAATTTTCGACCTTTCCGCTTCCGCTTGTTGCCGTTGGAGCTAGAATGGGTAGGGACTAGAAGCGAGAGAAGAATTGCAAAGGATCACGCGTAAATTGATTTCATTGGTCAAGACACATTAGCCTTGGAATGACTAAAAGAGATCAACAAGTCTTCATTCTATTGGTCAACTTGGCTAAATGGCTTTATCCGTACATGACCGATCTTCCGTGGTGCTCATCCTTGTTCCCTCAACCTTTCGAGCTCTTCTCGCCTTTTTCCCCAAAATGTCTCTGAATCGATCTCTCTATCTGGACCAATGAAAAGTCGCTCAGACAGGACTTTAATCAGGACATACCTCAGCATCCCACTCGATAGCAACAAATCGACCCACACCGCAAAGACCCGCAAGGTAACTTAGGTAAGGCAAGAGAAGAAAGACTCAGAAGAGGCAAGTCGTCTTTTACCTCTTTTACCTCTTACCTGAGTTACCTCTTCTCCTCTTTTAACATGGAGGACTAATCAGAGGACGCCAATCTCCATCTGATCTAGCCTCTACAATCGTGGTCGCGCAAACGCAAGCTTCACTGTGACAACCCAATTGGAGCTTCCCGAAAAAAAGTACCCCAAGTTCCTTCCCTTCCCTTCCCTTCCTATTCTTACATTTTAAAGATGCCGTCCTTTCGCTCAGCTTTCTTTTCTTTTCCTTTCTGTCCTTTCCCTCATCCCATCTCCCATCTCCAAATAAAATAAGTATTCCCACCTTTCCCTTTCCCTTTCATCTTCATCTTCATCTTCATCTTCTTCATTCCATCCATCCATCCATCCCTCTTAATCAACTCTTAACTTTTTACTCTTCCTCTTCCTCCTTCTCCATCAATACTTTTACTTCCCCATCACAACTCAATACATACTTCATCCTTCCCATCTCCCAACATCAATACACTTCCATCTATCATCTATCATCTATCCAATAAGATCAATCAATTGATAAAATAGTTACCCAAAAGTCGCGCCTTCTTCTGGCCATCCATCAAACATTTTAAACAAACTCTTTTTCCATCATCATCATCATGGGTTCCTTCTCTCATCAATCTTTCTCTCAATCTTCTCCCGTTCTTGCCATGGCGCCGCAACTCCCACCTCAACATTCTTTCAATCGTCCAACTTTTACATCCCCTTTCGTAAAAGCTCCCATGTCATCACCATCGGCAGGTTCTTGGCTCACTCCAACTTCGGCACCTCAATCAGCTGCAGGTCGTAAACGCTCACGCGACGAGGCTGCTCTTGAAGACGAAGAATACTTTTCACAAGCACCTGTTGAGCCAATAGTTGTCGAAGATGAAGAAGAATGGGAATACGGGCCAGGCATGACGCTCATTAAACCGAGTAATCGTTACAACTTAACGGCAGAGAGTCAAACTGGTACTTGGAAAGAAGAGAAAGAAGCCGAAGAAAAAGCAAAAGCAGCATTGCGCGCGGTCAGTCCAGATAGACCGATCCTGCGTTCGGCAAAGAGTCAAAGAATTGATAGAGGTCCCACATCATCAATGGTCGAAGAGACAAATGTCGCGAATAGTGTCCTCTCAGCTCCTCTTCAAACCGGAAGTACTGGCCCCATCCAGCCTTCCATTGACGAATACACGAGGCATTTGGGAATTGGCTGGTCAAAGTTAAGCACCGATGAAGACATTCAAGCTGCGGTTCGTGGCTGGACCAAATATATCGAGAACCACTATCCTGTCAACAATGCTATTATTCGATTGCAGAGTAGAGGATTAGCCAGCTATCTCGTTGAAGCTCAAGAAGGCTACTTTTTATTTGGAGATGACCTCAAACAAGGTAGACTTGTGAGCACCAGCTTGGAAAAGACTTTTGAAAATCTTCGAGGACCAGTTCCAATATTTGAAGGAGATATGGTACTTGAGGCTAGCGAAACACCCAAGGCTAGCAGTCCAGTTATGAATGCTATGACAAATGAACACGTTGAAGAAATGATGATGGGCGGAATTCCTACGACCAGTCTCCCTAACCATGCTGTGGAAGTTGAGATGGATATGAGTTAAATGCGATTTACGGCTTTGGGCACCAATGTAAAAAACGAATTGGGGATTCCTAAAGTTCACAGGATACGGAGTTTTTCTAGTTTCACTGCATTCGGCTTTGCATATGGGATTTCGGAATTAGGGTCATCAATAAGGCTACCTGGCTAGGTCTAGCATACATTTGTAACATAGAATAACGAGGGAGGTAGGTCATGGGTTTGCTGGCTTTGCATACTTTGCAAGACGTTCCAACTTTCGTTGGCACGACTTTAGTAGTGAGTGCTCAACGTCAGGGCAAGCTGTCGTACTAAATTTAAATCGAATACAAAAAGTCTGTTGTATCCCAATATTTTCCTCCAAACTCTGAAATGATGCGAACTAATGTGAATATACGAGTATATGAATGCAATGTGATTGTGAATTTCGAAATTTGCTGCCTAAGGTTACTGGTTCGGGTTACCTGTTCAACGAGATGGTGTGACGGAATATCGCTCAGACACCAACTTTAATTCAAAGCTTCGAGTCGAGAAGCGAATTTCTAAATGGAGCCAGATGATGGAATGAAGGTAAATGAGGCATCTGCTGCAAGACCACTTGGGATTGCAATAGCCTGTTAAAGATTTTTAGATTCGAAGAAAGAGAGCGGTGAGCATTGAGAGGGAAATACAGGATAGATGGAAGAATAGAAGAATGTGAGAATGTAATAAGAATGGGAACTTGGGAAGGAGTATGCATTGTGAAAGTCTACGGTCTTGATTACTCGTATGTAGACGGGAGAAATGTTGAGATGAGATGAGATGGGATGGGGATTACGGTATGGATATTGATGATAGTAATTTAATAGTAATAATAAGGGTGGGTAGGTACCTAGTAGGTAGATGGGCAATTTGATTTAATGGATGATGTATGTATGGATGTATGTATGTATGTATGGATGGATGTTTTGGTTACTTTGTATGTATGTATGTATTTTGACAATATAATATGGTTCATGTTCATGTATAAGTGACTTGTTCAATGTATGTATACATCATCGATCGGTAGGTACTAGGTAGGTATTTCACAATACAGTAGTTCATTCGTAATCGTGGGTTCGTTCATTCATTCACACATACATTCATTCACACCTACATACATATACATACATAGGTATACATTTTACCATTCTCCCGATGATTTCCCCTTCCCAATGAAATGTGAGATATCTCAATCTTTTCAAACGTCTTCCCCAGAATGTATTATGTGATACATACGGCCCAAAGTCTAGAAAGCCGGCTGAGTGACGGCCCATCTGTTGACCAGTTCTTGGATGTGTGATCCTGGTTTGCTATTCTGGGTTGGCATGGGCGAGGTGGGAATGGAGACAGGTGATTGGATGGGATTGGGCGAGGATCATCAAGTAGTTGGGGTTTCTTTGGAGTGATGGATGGCAATGGAGTTGAACTTGGATACGGATATAGGGATTGGGAGATGGGGCCATGGATACACCAACGCACGTATGTATGCATATGTATGAGAGAAGATGAATGGATGGATTGCACACGATGGCTACCGCGCATGGGAGAACCGAGATGCACAAGTGATAGGCATACCTGGGTATATGTACGATGTAGGTGGACATAATTTGTGAAGAGGGACAGAGGGACAGAGGAGGAGTAATGCAAGGAGAGCGAGCGAGCAGCAGCGCGTTGAAAACGAATGGCTTTCGGGAATTTTCGTGTGCATTTTTGGGGGGGGGGGATGTTCATTTGAAGGGGCTGGGCGAGAGCATCCTTTCGTTTTCCCTCCGTTTCGCGAGTTGGCTGGGCTGGGCTGGGGCGCGCAGAGTGGAGTGGCCTCTCGAACTTGAAGGTGTAACTTGCAGTAGATGGATGGGTAAGATGGACAAGGCAAGGCGTGCACGCAAGATGAGTGATTGAACAAGCATAGTTCAAGGTTTTTTTTTCTTCCTTCTCTTCTCTTCTCTTCGGAGGTAGTTAGGAATGGAATGGAGGTGGGTAGAAACGGATGAGATTGATTGGATGGTAATATGTGTTCCTGAAGCTGGGAAACTTGGATGGTCCTGGGAGAGAACGGGTTGATTGATGGTTGATAGATAAAAATTGGATAGATAATAGATTGATTAGTACCTAGATAATAAGATGCATTTGATATTGGAATGGAATTGATATTTTTCTTCTCGCGTTCGTGATTCTTTATGTTATTGATTTGCTTGGGATATATATTATATCTATTATACGTACACGCAAAACAGTAAAGCAGCTGAAGATATCTAGCAACGCGTTTTTCGTGATTGGTGAAGATAGAAAGAGGAGAAAAAAACGACTTTGTGAGGTTCGTTCGAGGTGGGTTTTGAGACATTTGGACATTTTGGTAGAAGCTTGGGACGAACGAATCGAGAATCGTTTTGCGAGGGGATTTTCGGGTCGGGAGAAGAAACGAGGTATATTTTATTTATATTTGAAAGACCGAAGGGATTGCGCGCTGTGCGTAGCAGATTTTGGATGAGTTTATGACCTTTCTCATCGCATCACTTCATCAGCCTTGTGTCGACTTGGTGTAAGGTGAATGAGGTGAAGGCTGGATATTTTGGTACGTTTGTTTGTTTGGTCAAGAATTTCCATGTTTTTGTTCAGGTATGCGATGCGAAAATCATAACCTGGAGTCATTGGAAGGAATTTATCGAACCAATTCACAAATACTGATTGCTTTTTGGGGGGATGCGTAGGAAACAAGCAATGGTTTCGCAGGCAGAGCCGACCAATTCGCTGACTGCTCGAGGTCCTTCGTCGGTCGTTTCAAGAGCGAGTACTTCGAGACACCATCGCCGTCACGGTCGAAGTCATACCGGAAGTTCTTCATACATACCGCAGAATGATTTTCCAATCTTCACGCATACCGGGGATGTGGAGATTGTTATAAAAGCTGGCGCGAAAACGAATCGATACTTATTACACCGACTTATCCTAACGAATTGTTCGGGGTTTTTTGAGACAAGCACAAGCCAAGAATGGTCGAGAGCTACTGAGCTTGGAGGGACGGGTGGAGGGGAATTAGCTAGGATAGGTGAAGAATCGGGCAGTGATGTGGGAAGAAATGATGGTGTTCCAAAAAGAAGATGGAGGTATGAATTGGATAGGAATACCGACGATATACCAATGCTCGTTCAAAGGTCGGAAACCTCACTGTCCCCCTTCGGCGCAAACGATAGTCGACCACCACCCCCCGTACGAAATAAGCCTCCTTCATCCAATCCTTCATTCTTCCGCTCTGTCGCAAACTTATCCATCTCCTCGCATTCAACTCCAGCGCCTCCGCAAATAACACAAGAAGATCAAGATCTGCTCAACGACTACGATAATCTATTTCGAATCTTTTACAATCACTCTCCGCTTCTCGATTCTATCGATATCGCTACCGCATACATACAATGCAAATCACTCCTCACACTTGCCGATCTCTACGATGCTTTGGCAGTTGTTGGACCGCGTATCGATCATCATCTCCTACAATTTCAAGGTCGTCTTTGGAAACAAATCGCTAAATATCCTTCCTCGTATCTCAAACTCGGCTTTCTCTCACAATCGAAAACGATATTTGGAGAAGCTCTTATACATGTTGTAGGCGCTTGGCCAGCAGGAGAAAGACATATTAGGAATCAATTACCCGATCAAGTGTTGGAGATCATAGAGGACAAAGTAGAGGATTTAAGGGATATGGTTGGGAGTGTTGAAGGGCAATTATTTCGATTAACTTTATTGACTTCAAGAGGAGAGAGAGTTAATCCGGGTAATGCTTATGCGGATTGGCTGGTGGTTAGCTTGTTTAGACAATGGCTTGCAGAAAATACATCGCCGCCTCCTGCTCCTCCTCAACCATCCCCTAGATCTCGTCAATCTAGTGGTTCCCATAATACACATCATTCGCGAGCTTCTTCTCTAACGATCACTCAACATCAACAACCTCCTCCTTCAACTATATCGCAAAATCAACAAATCGGTAGGACGTTTAAGTTACTGGGTAATGCATCTAGTAGTGCATACTTAGGACATGAAGATTGCAAGCGGTTCTTGAAGTTAACACCGGAACATTATAGTAGAGAGGGACTAAGAAGATTTGAGAAGAGGATGGATGAGATGAAGGAGATGGCGAGGAGGGTTGTGGCGCCTTTGATGAGGTGTGGATTAGAAGGGGAGGGTGTGGCGGTGGGATATCTAACGTGTACGAGAGTGGAGGAGAGGGATTTCGTTTGGTTGTAGGAGGAAGGGGGAAGGAAGTGGTAAACGACAAATTTCACTCCCACAAAATATTCAATGCTTCAGGCTGCGGTCTAGCAGTCAGATTCTTGAGTCTTGATCTCCTTCTGCATCGTTCAATCAATTCGATGGATCTGTCTAATTTGGATTATTTGACTGCATTGGAACAATCAACCAACTTAGTCAGGATAATTATTTGGTCCGAGAGAGGGAGAGGCAATGAATACACGGGTCTACGAACGATTCTCTGGAAGAGAGGAAGCAAATGCGATATACGAACATGAGCAGTACGCACTTTACGAATAATGAGTCGAGACGATGATGGACGAGTCGAACAAAACCAAGATTGGATAATACGAAACGATGATCTCTTCTTTCTCCCCTTTCTTTCATTCTTTTTTCCCTTCACTTTTTTTTCTTTTTTTTTTTTAGGAAAGGCGAGCGAGTGGTGGTTTTGGATGGCTTTGAATTCGAAACGAAACCTTTCTGGCAGGATACCCTTGGCAATTTTCTCTTCTTCTTCTTCGATTTTTCTATTTTATTTTACTTTGCTTTACTTTTATGAGTACTTAGTTTTATTTACGTTCATGTTTATGGTTATGGTTATGATGATGATTAGGATTGGTGAGGGAGGGAGGAAGGGAAGGGAGGGGAGTTTTCGGCTTGTGTCTTTTTTTTTTTGTTTTGGATATGGTGGGAGGGCTCTATGTAGGAGAAAAAACAGGCCGGAATTGACCACTATGTAATGCTACATGCATTCTCACCAAAACAACGCGTAGAGAGAGGTGTTATGCATTGGTCAATTCCGGCCTGTTTTTTCTCCTACGTAGAGGAGGGGTGAGGAGAGGAGAGGAGAGGTTATGATTTGATTTGATAGGTTAGGATTGGATAGGATAGGATATGATTGATGGCTACTAGGCTGGAGGATGTTGGGATTGGATGTTGGAGTAGGTACATAGCAAAGTGGTTACGTTTAGTAATGAATGAATGGATGAATGGATCTATCTATCTATCTACTATCGACGTTTGCTTGTATTATGATGGTTCTTGATGAATGGATAGGATGTGATGTGATGTGATGTGATGTGATGGGATTGTGAATGTGAAGGTAGATGAAGTGGTGAACTGGTGATGGAAAAGAGAGAGAAAGGTAGTAGATGGTTGGTTGGATATAGAGATGGTCAGATAGATAGAGAGATGGATAGACGATTACATACATACATATATATACACTACTGTATGAGGCAGAATGAATGCAATGGTGGGAGATAGTGAATGGATCGAGATGGATTAGAAATAGATTGGAAGATCTATCTACTAGTTACCGCATATATGCATATATGTATATAGGTATCTAATGCTATCTATGCTGACCATACGACACGTCTATGTCTTGGAATACGATAGATAGATAGAAAATAAATAGTTTTTGATGGTCTTTGAAGGGATGATAGATTGAAAGGAGAGCTATTTATATAGTATTGTATATAGTTTATATAGAATATTCAACCCGTCTTGAGATTTTTCGTTGATTGATTGATTGGGATGGATGGATGGATGGATGGATGGGATCGAGACGTTTGGTTGGGGGATATTGAGATAGGGTTTATGATGGATGAACGGCGAGATGGTACTGCTTGATAGGTGATAGGTTTGGGTTGGTGGGAAAGATATGTGTTTTTTGTAAAGGGAACTCGAATGTTGGAGGGATGGGTATGGGATGGGATGGGATGGGATGGGATATTGTAATTGGATCTTGAGAATTTGAGAATTTCATTGTTGGGGAGGAATGGGGAATGGGTGGGATACCTATTGTATCGGATTCTTTCTGATGTTGTGATGTTGATGATATAATAGATAGCATCTACGGGTCATTGCTATGTGTACCTATCCTATCCCATCCATCCCGAGATACTAAATCCTCAAAAGCTATCAAGAAGACGGCCATACGCATATCAATGCTTCTACGATTCTCCGATCCCGAGTTTCTCATTTTGGGAATCGAAAGATCGATATATCAATTCTCGTGTATGAATCTACCACGTCGCGTCTTTATTTCTCGCCACAAGTCGCTATTGGTTGTTGTATCCCAACTCCGCAAAGCTCACCTCTCTACGATATCTGATTTTGTATTCGAGGCAAGATTCGATGTTAGATAATGCGTGCGTTATTGGAGAACGGGATTTCAATAAGGATATTGGCCAGAGAGTATGCGCCATCTGCGGACTTTGCATCGCAAGTTGTTGTAGAGTTTCCGGTTCGTTTGTTATGAAATGAGAGATCAGTCGCAATGTCAGAATTATCTGCAAAATCGTCCGTATCAGCTTTACATTTATATACACCACCTAGCCATCTTCGCATGAGCTTTTCACAACGGCAACATCCAAAGAGACTGCTATTATCGTAGACAATCATGTAAACCATGTAAAATATATTGCCATCTATCTGCGGATACGAATCGATTTATCTTACTTGAAGCAAAATTCAGAATGAGCAGAAAGAAGGATATGACTGAGCACTCGAAATCATATGAAAACACATAACTGAAGAAATTGAAGAACCGAAGGTTCTTCAAGTTCTTCAAGACAGCCTCCTTACCTTCTCGGAGCATTTTCAGATCAAGAATTGAGAGTGCTATGATACGAGTTCTTCATTGCATATTGGGGTGATGATTGTATAGAGTTTGATATTGCTCTCATGAAGTATACGTGTTCCCTGAGTGTCTTATTCGCAGAATCAATAAAACTACGTAGGAAATGCAACTCCACTACCTGGGTACTTCTACCTAAGTAGCTGTCATCAATCCCTTACTTCTATCTACATCGTCGACTCTTCCACAATCTCACTATTCTTCTTCTTCAAGCCCCAGCTAAAAAGCCAAGTTCTCAATGAAAAAAAGGTTTTCCCGAAGGAAGCAATCAAAAATTCCCCCGATGGGGACCCCGAAGGATACCCAACGATTCTCGTCGCCCCGATGTGCAATGGAGGACTCGTATCATAGCACTCTCAATTCTTGATCTGAAAATGCTCCGAGAAGGTAAGTATGCTTTTTAAAAGATCTGGGAAGAAAGGGGACCTTATATAGAAAACCAGAGATGGCTTGTGCACGCTAACAAAGAGGCCAGTTGGTGCAAATAGAGCAAACATGGCTTAATTGGGGTTAGTGGGAGAATCTAAGCGGATGTGGGAGAATGTGGATCTTCGACAATGGGTGTAGTTGGAAAGTTCATGATCAATTTTGTTGATTAATTCAAAAAATGTGTGGGTTTGATCAATCTATATTCTTATTGACCTCGATTGTTAATGTTGAGTTTGGCCATAAGGAATTGAAATGGTAAGGAATGATTTACCAGATGGCAATCATGAATAGGTCGAGGTACTAGGTAGCCAACATAGGTAGATACCAAGATACTTGTCTGTGTAGTATGCATCGCACACTTTAACACAATTTCACATCAATCAATTACAATTGAGACTTACTTTTATTTCTTTACAACCACTTTTTTAATCGTGATGATTGTATCATGTCATTTATCTACTTCCACTTCACTATGGTCCTTTATCCCTTTCCTTAATTCATATCATCGCTTCTCTTTTCTTTTCACGTTAAAGTGAAAACTGGCGACGTTGGCAGCGTTGTGTTTTACTTATGACGGTTTATCCATCTTTAATTCCCGATTTTTGTTTGCATTGAAATGCCACACACAATAACCTATTTTATACAAGTGCTTGGAGTGATTTGAAGTGGAATGTGGTGAGCTACCACATATTGAGGAGCCCATGTGGCATCGATCGTGTCTTTCAAGATATTTACATTCATCGGATCGTCGTGAGGGTGGTAAACTGTTTGCTCGTGTTCTCCTCTCATAAGGTAACATCTTCCTACACTGTTTTCTCTATATTATATTCTCTACATCATTCTCTCTATATGCAAACCTGGGAAACATGCTGACTCTGATCTAGTGCTTTCTTTCGACTCTCGTCTCCTTCAAGAATGATACAACTGATGAGTGATTTCTTCCAAATAAGTCTGCAGAGATACGGGGAGATCATGTCTTCTTTGTATAGGTTATAATTATGGTGTTGATTATTCCCAGTTTCTCACTATGAAGCCAGCACCCTGGTTGAGGACAATTCTATACCTGCCCATGGCAGGTCACTTCAAAGTGGCCGTGTTTAAGTAACCGTGCTTATTCAGACGAATAAATGCATCCATTCTGTCGGACAATCGTGCAAGCACAATGTTCCTGTCGAGGATATAATGATTCGTGAGTTTAGAATCTACTATCCCCCCCCCCGAACAATAAAATGTGCTGATTGTTTTATTTCCTGTTAGGAAGCTCACAAATTGATACCTCCATGACCAAACGCTGTATGCTTGATGTCACTTTTCTGTCCAGGAACACAGTTGATCAATGTGCCGTCTTTCTCTGGTCCGAGTCTGTCCGCTAGAACATCCTCGTGTGTCTGATGACGACTGCCTAAGGTCAATGTTATCTCCAGGGCTGAACAACTCATAAGGTTTGCATGTCCGGCATTTCCTAAAACAATTAAGCATGCTAACTCTTCGAATTTCAGGTTACAGGGCTATACATCATTTACATTTGAAAGGCGGGATGTGGCAATGGAACCGCAATCGAATCTCCCAAGGTACTATACCACGATTATGGTTATACGATCATTCAACGCCACCAAGCATCATTTGTGGTGACACAGTGCCGATAATGAAGAGTATATCATTGTCAGCTGCCACAGTATCCTCCGCCTTCATAAAGAAAGATTGAAAATCTGTATCAAGGACTGCGCGTGCTGGATAACAGACATAAGTATAATTTATTCTAGCCCTACTTGGGTTAATACAAATTGACCACCATACATGCTAATGACTGGAGAAACTCTTTCTGGATGAACGATTGGTAGGCCGTTGGATGCTACCCTGTGTTTAATAACATAAGGCCGTAATACCCCCACGGTTTCGGAGACGAGCCTTTTCCGGATTGAGCAACCCTGAGGACATTTCTAAATTTATGAGAGAAGAATAAGCGTCATAAAATCACAGATATTATTATATATTCGAGTGGTGCCCGGATATACTAACTACCCTTTGTGGAGATTCTGTGAGTATTGAAGCTGCATTCTAAGATTAAGCTCACGCACAGATGATGAAGAGAAGTTGATGGTAAGACACAAAACGTCAGATCATGAGACTACACAAGACAAAGAATTGTTGTTGAAATAAGAGATGAGAGAGTCAAATAAGACTGGAGCTTTAAAAACTGTCACTAAAAGGCTCGGTACAGATGCACTTAGCTCATGCATGGGCTTAATCAAACGATTACTGCATCGAGGATGCGAGAGAGAGAAAGTATCGAGTGTCCTAGCCAGACATGTAACTATAAAACCTCTTTTGCAAAAGACGTCAGTCAATTGAGTTGCCAGCAGTTTCGGCATGGGCTTAATCAAACGATTACTGCATCGAGGATGCGAGAGAGGGAAAGTATCGAGTGTCCTAGCCAGACATGTAACTATAAAACCTCTTTTGCAAAAGACGTCAGTCAATTGAGTTGCCAGCAGTTTCGGCATGGAGCTCAGTCAAACGATGACTGCATTCTTGGAGAGATATAGGCCAGTATCGATTGCCGCAGCTCAGGCATATGGATTTGCACCTATCTAGCTGTTTTGAAGCTGAATAGTGGGCGTCATTCTGTCATCTCTGAACTTGATAAGAACATAAAGTCGATTCTGAAGCCGGCTGTATTGTCTGGGAATCAATTCATAAGTACCCCTCCTCTTGGCGAGGAACCAAATAGGGTTCATTAAAGCTTGGAGTACAGTCCAACAAGGTATGACCCACCCAACCATTTCTTCATTCATTCTAGGACATTGATTCAATCTGAATCTTGCTTTTGGTTGGGCATTCTACATCATTCGGAAGATGATGCCATCTCAAAATATTGGCGAATTCTCGTGTGTGTAAAGCTTTTAGATCTGGACCTTATCAGGACTATCCGTTGTCCTAAATCAAATAGTTGCTTGAGTATGTACTCTTGTTGAGTAAGCTCGTGAGAAATTTCGCGGGATCCATGCTGGCCGACTTGTTGGCACCCGAACTTTCTTGGGTGTTATGTTCTCCGGCCATGCATCATGTTCTCATTTTGGTTTTCTGGAACCTGGAGCCCGTGTTTTGCTATCATTTACTTTGGGCCAAAGGTCTTGTTCCCAAGAATATGAGATTTCCGGAGCTCACTAACATGCATCAGGCGTAGCGATTTCATTTTGTTAATCTTAAAAGTCAGCTGATGTCGACTTTCTTTTTCAAAAAGGAAAAGCAACGACCCGAAATATTGTTTGATCGGCTTCTTAAAAGTATGAGACGCTTAAATCATGGTTTCTATGCAAATTCTGGGGTGGACAAGAGAGGGTTACGGGGCATTGACGTCTTTTGTATGTTGAGTTTTGCGTGTTGAGGCAGAAAAGGCTCACCGATCTGTGACTTGTTAATAGATAACAGCAGGCACGAGCATATTTGCAGGTCAATTACGAAAGTGAAGGGTACCTATATGCAAGGTTAAAGAGAAAGTCCACGGGCGTACAGTTTCCACGAAAAGCCTTGCTGATGTCCTTTCTTTTAGTGAACAGTTTGAGGGAGGAGTAAAATTATTCAGGGCTAAGGCTTGCCGGTGTAGCAACTGACTTGAACGATTTGTTCACTGTTGCATCCCACAGAAGGTACTCCGCCTTGTTTGTTTCCCTAAAGAAGATTTGAAAGTTCAGTCTACTCATATAGGACAGTGATTTCCGCACTCTCTGGCCGCCCTAGAATTCGCGTTTCTTCCTTCGCATGTTACAACTCGGTTTCGTTCAGCTAGTATGATTATGCTTACAATACAAGTACTGACTCTGGTCCACGATTGTTGAAATAATATATGTCTGTGGAGATGCTATCCGACAGCATGCTTTCACTTTCAAATTCAAATCCACTGTCCACTTTTCTTTCGTTGGGATTCTCAACCGAAAGGCTGCAGCTAATAACGCGGGTAGCACTCAACTACTATCTTCAAAGCACCGTAATTTGAGCTGGATCTTCAAGAACGTCACCTCTGAAATCTTATTCGATCTCCAAGTCTTCCATTTCAACTTCAACAGTTAAAAGCGCCAATAAATCCCTGGAAACTTTGATATTATGGCTGTTCTCGACTCCCTGCCTGGGATTGAAGTTGCGGTATGTGTTGATGGCGAGCCATTGAAAGAATATGAGAACACCGAAGATGAGTTGATATTGAATGAGCCAGAAGGACTTGGCAAGAAGTTTGAAGTCGCTAAACATCAGCGTTCTGTGACGGTTAAAAAGTTTGTCGAATCTACGGCCGGCAAGTTCTTTACCATTAAATGCACCATCAAAAGCCCATATAGATATACAGGCGCTTGTACGCACATTTCATTTTTCTCTTCTATCGATGGCGAGAACCTGTCTTGCGCCCCTCTTTTCAACAAAGAAACATATGAAAAGAATAGCTCTGGCTTGACTCGAGAGGTCGAAGGAAATCTCTATAAGGAGGAAGGAAAACTACTACTACAGAGATTAAAGTTCACAGAGATGCACTTGAGTAAGATTCCAACGGCCGCGCGACTTTGGGTAACGTACTAAGACTATATCAGCTCAGTGGGATAATTCGATCGAAGCAGCCATTCGGCCTGACGGAAGCGGACGTTACGTGGGTGAAATCGAAGTGAGAGTCTTTCGAGAAATGTCCCCATCAAAAACCAGTCTTGTCAGCACAGCTCCATTAGTTAGTAAAACCGAGATTCCAGAGAACTTGTTGAAGGGCCAAGCAAAATCACATAGCACATTGTAAGACCTCATATGTTTTTACCACTCGCTACTATATTACTGAGAGTTATGGACCGTCAGCTAATCTTGCGGATAGATTTAGTCAGGGTGAGGCTGAAAAAGAATGCAAATATCTGAGAACGAAATGCTGCGATGGTGGAATAGAGTATCCTATTGCAATTTTCAATTTTCAATATGGCTCGAAAGGTTGAAGTTTGTTCCACGAAAGCACGTCCAGTCATCACTAATTGTTTAATGTATAGGAGATCTTGAAGCATTAGGTATTGTCGAAAGAATGTCGGAGCCAGAGTCACCGTTTGGTTGTGGTCATGATTCTAGACGGCTACCTATACCGATGAGTGGACCTCAAGCTCCAGAGAAGTTGTTCCGGGGTACGATGAGAGAAGCGGAGGCGGAAACGGAGGCAAAGCTATCAAACAACAATTCTGATGGCGGATCTACTTCCAAGCCACTGCCAAACACGTTTGCATCTCCACCAATCAAGCAAAAACTTCAAGATTCTGGATCTGTTAAAAAATGTATCGCAACAACCCCTTCAGTGCCTATCGGCTCTTCTAATATCACGTCCCCAATAAATTCTGCATCCTGGAATCTTCAAGATCTAGATCCAACACAGACTGGACAATTGTTTGGACAGTTCCTGCAATACTTACAAACACAAGGAGGTGGACAGCCCTCACAAGCACCCCCGCCACTCCCAGTAGAAACCACTCCCGCGGCTCTTCCCAGCCTATCAAAATCCACCAGTAGCAGCGAAATTGTCACTACAGCTACTTCGAAGCCAAAAGTCAAACGCGAGAAAGAAGGAAATGAGAATGAGAGTCGCAAGAGACGTCGCAAGGTTAGAGAAAAAGTTACTATTGACCTTACAGAGGACAATTCTGATGATGACGTTGTGATTGATCTTGATTCGGATTGAGATTTTCAAATGTCTCTGGGATCAATGGGTAACAAACAACATCTACGATCATCTAGGTTGGTTCTTCTGAGCCGAGTCTTACACCATCAATCTAATCATTATAGTGCTTTTGTTACGTTGGAAAATTATTATGGACGATTGGTAAATTTGGGGGTAATCCAAGGAACACATCGTTGAACAACATCGTTACGCTATTAGGAAGTTTATTTGAAGAAAAGATAAAGACTGCTAGGCGTCTCATACCAAGTCAATACTACTGGCAACTTAAATATTCATCAAACATGAAAGTATCCCACAAATACAAAGTCGTATAATTCCATACAAAACCTGTGCTCAAGACTTCATGAGTATGTATAATGGTCTCTCCCACTTCTCGGACGAAGAAATTACCACAACTTCTTTTACTCGTGTTTCATCCCAATCTTCGAAAAAGTAGCGACGATAATTCACTCATGTCCACGTGGTATTTATTGGGAACTCTCCCAAAAATTGTAGTCTAGCTCAACCTCAACGTTGATTACCCCGCTCTCAATTGAAGCATGAAGATATAATCCCCAAGAAGCCTTCTCCTCTCTTCCTGAACCTCTCAAAACTTTCAAGATATCTTATTCTCTCTCAAACCTGCCCTAATTATCGCGAATACATCTCACCTCCGTTCGTATTGCCAAAAACGAGTTCAAACTTTTTGAAAGCTACTCTTTTCTGGCTTGCCAGTCCAGCCTCCCTGGCTTTTCGTTCAAAAGCTACCTCCAAATTCATAGAAAGTCCATTTTTACAACTGGAGTTAACAGTTATCTGCATCCCCAAGACTTTCTGGGTTCATTTTTGCCTTCCACACAGGATCTACTCTCACGGAAATCCCCATTCTCAACGCAAAAATTTCATTCTTAAACACTTCACTTTTCTAACACTTTCGAGTTGTATCTTCATTGGTTTGACATTATCATTACTTTATCTTTCCCTCGTTCATCATGCCTATGCGCAACAGTATCCCTGTTCTGGAACCTCATAACCCTGGAATTCCTAAAGGAGTTTACCTCCCATTTGTTCCGGGTATCACGGCCCAGATCATTTCCAACCATGGGGAAGCATTCCCAAATTACGATCCTCGAGAAAGTGAGCCTCTTATTCCAGATGATGAGGATTCTGAATACTCTCGCCTACATACCGTCACGAAATATATCGCGGTAACCAATGACTCATCCTTTTCAATTCATTTGAAGGTTGATCGACCCTATCCTAAGACCATGGAATGCGCTCACTTGCAGTTCGAGATTCTTGTAGACGGAGAATTTGTGTGGAATGCTTGGTGTGCGAGGGCTGATTACAAAAGAAATGGAAAGTTTATGTGGGAGGAGACTATTGATGGGATGAAGGTGGGTAAAGGACACAGGTGCGAGATCAGCAAGTTTAAGTTCAGTGCCATCAAGACCAGTAAGTAAATTTCAAACATTTTTTCTGATGTAAATCTTCAATTCGGTCTCAGTCCCAGAGTTCTATGAGTGAAAGGAATTCTTTACTCCTTTGCTATATATGAGGGCACACAAGAGATTAGATGAATCAATGCGAGGAGCGTATGAGAGACTAATGAGACTTTGCAGACGATGATAGACCTACTCCTACCGCTTTTCAGCGTATCAAGGATTCCATGAACAAAATTGGCAAAATTGAGATCAACGTTTATAAAACTAAGTATGGAAAGCCGGGCGGAGATGTCATGAATAACAAACTAGCGTTTCGAAACAAGAGCAACATAAATGTTCCTGAGAGAGCATTGAAGGGAGCTGAGGCCAAGAGCCATGGCACTGCGTGAGTGCATTTTCCACTTCCTTCCGACAACGCTTTCTAATAGATGCCCAAATTAGGTTGGGTGCTGGACAGAAAACTAGTAGAGGAAAGGTTTTCTCAAACGCCCAAAAACATGACGAACGCCCAATGATAGTATTTCGCTTTCTATACCGCTCCGAAGGTTTGTCTGGTCCATGCTGATAACTGGAAATCGATCACTGACCATAACACACTCGATACAGAAGCGCTTAAATCTATGCACATCATTGAACATACGCCCACTCCTTCTCGCTCCAGCTCACCAGAAATTGAGGACCAAAGTGGTAACAACCTAACAGCTGCTCAAGCAAACTTGGCAAAGCAGATGGCGGATTTAGAAACGCAAAAACAACAGATTGCGGAGCAAATGGCGAATCTGCAGAGATTGACTACCAACTCGGCAGGCGGAGGTCATTCGGGCAGCCGAAAGAGAATCAAAAGAGAGAATGATGATGAGCCTGAAAGTAGCCAGGCAGCCAACAAGCGACGCAGAACGGAGATGAGTAGAGGAAGGGTTACAGTTGATTTGACAGGTGATAGCGAGGACGAAGAGGTAAAACCTGCCAATATGGACAGCAGGGACGAGGAACGAAAGGCTATCAAATTGGATGACGATGATGAAGAAGATAGTTTGTTTGTTGCAGACAATCGGAAAGGTACATGCCTATTGATATGAGGGCATGATCCTTATCTGAAATCCTAAGCTGGTAGCTTGCAGGTGGAGGGGTAATGAGAATAACCCAATGTTGGCTTTGAGAAGCTCAATGCACAAAAAAGTTATAGACATGAATAACAAGCCATTTATTATCTCAAGCACTCATTAAACTGCATTTTTTGACAAAACTTGAGCTGAAAACATTCATGGCAAGAAGTAAATGCAGACAATGGAAATCACGTGAGATACATGTGGTTTGCATTGTTCCAAGTTTAGCGTGGATTTTCCTTGGAAGCGAGAGCGCTCGGCTCTTCTCTCACCACAAAAATATCTGATGACGTTGAAGCTCCGAGCTACAGGATACATTAACCACTACTGTAACAAATAGCTTGTTGACTTTTCATCAACACATCCTTCTTCAACAATACACTCAACTTTCTTCTCCTTCACCACATCAAAAGATTATCTATATTACTGTGAGTTTTCTTCTTTGATCTTATCTCATCATAGGGACAATGAAATGAATGCTTTGAGCTCAATACATTACGAATGCACTTCGTAGGATCCTTTCGAACATTTACTGATATTTACATTGGAATAGGCCACGAATCAACAACAAAACACTTAATTTGGAGGAAACAATACAGCAAAGATGACACTCTATTACAGTCTTGTACGTTACCACCTTCTGCCATTCGCCGATGAATTTCACGATACCCCTCAGCCCAATATGCTGATCCGCAGCTCCCGCAAAGTCAACAAAGCATGCTAACAACAATTCGTACAGGTCTTTGTGCTCCTTGTAGCAGAGATGGCACTTTTCATGCTTCTCATCGTTCCTCTGCCTTTCACCATCCGCAGAAAGATGTTTACTTTCATGTTCGTGGTTCCCCATTATTTTTCTTCCGCCTGCAGCTACTAATACCCCACTAGAAGCGAAAGTCGACTGGTAGCAAAATTACAGTACGGGATGAAGATTACGTTTATCTTCATCCTGATTCTGTTCCTCGACAGTGTGAACAGAGTATATCGGGTTCAAGTCGAGTTAGCAGAGGCCAACAAAAATCAAGCTGGGTATGTTTTCCTCTCCACTTTATCTGCCAGTTCAAAAGCTCACGATCAATAGTAACCCTGTCCTTGGTCATGAACGCATGGAAGTACAAGCCCGTAAATTCTATTCTCAACGTAACATGTACCTCTGTGGTTTCACGCTTTTCCTCTCCTTGATCCTCAACCGAACCTACACCATGATCCTCGAAGTTCTCCGCTTGGAAGAGAAGGTCAACCGTTACGAGGGTACCGGCAAGACCGGCGGAAAGGATTCTGAAAAATTGGACCGTGCCGGAAATGCTGGAGAAATTGGCAAGCTTAAGAACTTGTTGGCCCAAAAGGAGAGAGATATTGAGACCCTCAAGGAACAATCGGCCAGAAACAAGCAGTTCTCTGATGACATTCTTGATAAGGCTCAAGCTGGTGAACCATCTGCTGGTAGCAGAAAGGAGAAATAAATTGGTTTCTTGATATGCCGGGCACTTTGGCGAACTACATCGACGAATCAATACTAGGGAATGGATGAATGGAAAGAATGAATATGGTGGTGCCGGAGTGGACAATCTGGGGACGGAGCAGGGCAGGGAGTGAGGATGAAGCGTGTCTTTTTTGATGGTTCATGACGGGAAAAGTTGGCTTTCATGAGTTTTAGTGGCGTATCCATGAAAAGGAAAATACAAATTTGATATGAATTAACTCACGTTTGCTGAACATGAGATGTGTTAGAATCTGATTTTGGGCCTCGGAGAAACAGACTCGAATGCTAAACACTGTTACTCTAAAATTCCTGTTCTAATTGCCCTTCTCGTTTTTCTTTAACTCCTTTGTGATTTGCTCACTTGCGTCGTTGATACATCTCGCTCCGTTAAGGAACACGCCCATGAGATTGACGTTATGCATGTAGATGAAAATCCATCCAAGCAGTCACGAGTCAGCAGCAAAGCAGTATATCAAAATCTCATAAAATTACACTCGTGTTAATGCTGTTAAGAGACTAGCTTCTATCCAGTAGCCTAGTAGTTACCATGTACTTTGCGTATGTATTTCCTAAATGTACTGCATTGCCCGCCCGTGTAAGATTTTATGTCTCCCCTAACAATATAACGTAACGCCTGATGGTATGCAAACTTTGGAACTTCTTCATTCCCGCGTGATTCTCATGTAACTGGACTATCTATCCTTCTGCTTCGATTTCATAACTGTTTGATTTATGCTTGGGCTGGAATTTGAAACCTTCGTGTGCGGGACCGAGGAACATTTCACTGGTTATTTAGTTAGTATCATGATTGTTAGGAAAGAACGATACAACGAGAGAAATAAAATATACCTGATCTTCATCCAATCCATATAGTTATCACTAGCCAACAAGGTTTCCAAATCATTTCGGCCCCTATAAGCTGGTGGACGATCTTGCAAACTAGGTGGTAAATGTTCCAAAATACCCGCTGGAACATATCGATGAGCAAAA